GGGTGGTTGTTTTAGTGCGCTCTATCCACTAAGGTAGAAAGTAGGTTTATAAATTCGATGAGTTTCAGTTTTTTACTTGTTTATTATATTGGAAACGTTGTCTGGAGGCGACATTTTGTATTATTTATACTTATTTCTGTAAAGAAATTTACAGTTGCCTGTTTAACAAAGCATCAAAAATATGGAGTTGATTCATTTATGCCCCTCCCCCCACCTCGCCTCTCCCTCATGGCTCAGCTATAATATCGCGGGCTTATAACGTTAAGAATTGCGTTTCGATCCTTGGAATTAGCACAACGAAGAGAGTCCATTGTGTAGTTTTGTGCTTCATGAAAAACAAACTTAATTTTTAGTATATGACGTCCCGGGCTGCAAATGGGTAAGTCCAAGTTCGAGCCAGCAATATGCCGCACTTTCAGCTGCGGGCGTGTTATAAAAGTAACAGTAAATCCCTATATTCAGCTAATAGGAGGCAAGCAGTTGGCGGGTGCTGTCGATTAGTTCTCTCCCTTCTAATAAGAAGCTCTAAAGTTGTAAGTTGTTAAGTGTTATGCCTGAACACTGAACAATGTGACCATTAATCTGACCTTTAGTCAGTCCACATGTCGCGCTCGTGGTGACGTCAAATTAAAAATAGCAACCACCATTTGTGAATCCATAAAACACAAAACTCAAGAAAAATTATACATGCATGTATCTGCTCCTACAAGTTCTTTCAAACACTAAGATACTCAAGATTAAGAATAAGAATGTCGTGAATATAGACCATAGATCCGAAATCCGATACAATTAACTTCAAGTTAGTTTCAATAACACTCAAGGGGCTCGATAACCGGAAAATTTTCAATTAGAAGTTTGGAAATCAATAAATAAAAATTCCTTTTGGGTTTAAATATTAAATTAAATATAGTTATTTTGACGGATAGACTTGCACACACACACAAAAAAAAAATGTGTTATTTATAGCTTTTTAATTTAATTATAGGAGTCGCCACATATTTAAATAATCAAGTTACGTGTCTTGATATTGATTATACCCTAAAACGTCCAACTACCAGAACCAGATTTTTTATAATAATTTCACCCATATTGGGTTGGAAATACCGTACAGAATTAGTTGTTTTTTTTTATTCGAATTAGACACTTTTAAAAATTCACTGGTTTATCTTTGTTTGAATTTGTTTTGAATTTCGCGCGAAGCTACACGAGGGCTATCTAGGCTAGCCGTCCCTAATTTAGCAGTGTAAGACTAGAGGGAAGGCAGCTACTCATCACTACCCACCGCCATCTCTTGGGCTACTCTTTTACCAACGAATAGTGGGATTGGCCGTCACATTATAACGCCCCCCACGGCTGAAAGGGAGAGCATGTTTGGTGTGATGGGGATTCGAACCCGCGACCCGCAAATTACGAGACGAGCGCCCTAACCACCTAGCCATGCCGGGCCTTTGTTTAAAATTCACGGATTTTTTTTTAATGAGATTTTCTAATCAGAGATTAGGGGAGATGAGGTATTCACACTGAAAAAAAAACAAAAAACATTCTAACAAACGTATTCTATGAACTTTTATGAACTAGCACAGTGGTTCTCGAAGTGGTCCGAAAAGATCATCCAGGTAGTACAAAAAAAATATGCAAATCACATCAAAAGCAGCGTTGGTCTTCCCATTACTTCTAGTGAGTTTGTTGTTGTTGTTTTTGCTGTGGCAAGCGAAAGCGGGTGAGGTAGGATCGGTAGGTGGTCCACGGGGTCTTACGCCTTGCCGAAGTGGTCCGAGACGACACAGTTTGAGAACCACTAAACTAGCCAGTGGATTTATCGGCATTTGAATATGTTTTGCCTTCATCGCCCTCTGGTAGTGGTTTATTGAGTTTAAAACATTTAATATACCAATTTGATTTCATATACATCTTTGAATGTTTTTAAAGATCTTTGATGAAGTTATAAATATAATATTTTATTTTATTTCCTTTTTGCTTTTAAGACTCGTCCGATTTGATTAATTAACAATTAATTACAAATATTAATTAATTAGTCATATTACAAGTATTAATTAACTAACTAATCACGTTACAAATACACTTTCAGCGTGATGTTAATCGCGGAGTGTGACATCGCAGAGTCCTCTGGTGGGACAGCCGTAAATTTACGAGCTTACAAGACTAAAATCCGGGGTTCCATTCCTGATGGTGGCTACAGTAGGTAGTCCAATTTGGCTTTGCTCTTAAAAACACAAGCAAACACTATATAGTTCTAGCTGAACTTGTGGGTCGTGAGGCTTAGTAGTTTGTAATATCGATAAGAGCGTTTTATTTGGTTTAAATATAGTGACGTATTAGAAAACACAATGATACTGTTAACGCTTTCTTCGAGTATTTAATCACGATATTTCGAAATTCTGTTCAATTGACATCACCAGAGCCGTAGGCGTTTCAATCTTAAAATTTTGTAACATTGTTGCTGTTACTTACTAGCTGGTAGAAGTTCCAATCTTAAAATTTTGTAACATTGTTGCTGTTACTTACAAGCTGGTAGACGTTTCAATCTTAAAATTTTGTAACATTGTTGCTGTTACGTACTAGCTGGTAGAAGTTCCAATCTTAAAATTTTGTTACATTGTTGCTGTTACTTACAAGCTGGTAGAAGTTCCAATCTTAAAATTTTGTAACATTGTTGCTGTTACTTACAAGCTGGTAGACGTTTCAATCTTAAAATTTTGTAACATTGTTACTGTTACTTACAAGCTGGTAGAAGTTCCAATCTTAAAATTTTGTAACATTGTTGCTGTTACTTACTAGCTGGTAGAAGTTCTAATCTTAAAATTTTGTAACATTGTTACTGTTACTTACAAGCTGGTAGAAGTTCCAAT